TGCTACAAAAAGAATAAAATACCTTGGAATACAACTCACAAGGAACATAAGGGACCTCTTCAAGGAAAACTACAAACCACTGCTCAACGAAGTCAGAGAGGACACAAACAGATGGAGAAACATTCCATGTTCATGGTTAGGAAGAATTAATATCGTAAAAATGGCTATACTGCCCAAAGTAATTTACAGAATCAATGCTATACCCATCAAGCTACCATTGACTTTCTTCACAGAATTGGAAAAAACCACCATGAACTTCATATGGAACCAAAAGAGAGCCCGCATAGCCAAGTCAATTCTAAGCAAAAAGAACACAGCAGGGGGCATCACACTACTGGATTTCAAACTATACTACAAGGCTACAGTAATCAAAACAGCATGGTACTGGTACCAAAACAGAGATATAGACCAATGGAACAGAACAGAGGCATCAGAGGCAATACAACATAGCTACAACCATACAGTCTTTGATAAACCCGACAAAAACAAGCAATGGGGAAAGGATTCCCTGTTCAAAAAATGGTGCTGGGAAAACTGGCTAGCCATGTGCAGAAAGCTGACACCTTACACCAAAATTAACTCCAGATGGATTAAAGACTTAAACATAAGACCTGGCACCATAAAAACCCTAGAAGGAAATCTAGGCAAAACCATCCAGGACATAGGAGTAGGCAAGGACTTCATGAACAAAACACCAAAAGCATTGGCAACAAAAGCCAAAATAGACAAATGGGACCTAATGAAACTCCACAGCTTCTGCACGGCAAAAGAAACAGTCACTAGAGTAGACCAGCAACCAACAGAATGGGAACAAATTTTTGCAGTTTACCCATCTGACAAAGGGCTGATATCCAGAACTTACAAAGAACTCAAACAGATTTACAGGAAAAAAACAAACAAGCCCATTCAAAATTGGGCAAAGGGTATGAACAGACACTTTACGAAAGAAGACATATATGAGGCCAACAATCATATGAAAAAATGCTCATTGTCACTGGTCATCAGAGAGATGCAAATCAAAACCACATTGAGATACCATCTCACGCCAGTTAGAATGGCGATCATTAAAAAATCTGGAGACAACAGATGCTGGAGAGGATGTGGAGAAAAAGGAACACTTTTACACTGTTGGTGGGAGTGTAAATTAGTTCAGCCATTGTGGAAGACAGTGTGGCGATTCCTCAAGGCCTAGAAATAGAAATTCCATTTGACCCAGCAATCCCATTACTGGGTATATATCCAAAGGACTATAAATCGTTCTACTATAAGGACACATGCACACGAATGTTCATTGCAGCACTGTTTACAATAGCAAAGACCTGGAATCAACCCAAATGCCCATTGATGATAGACTGGATTGGGAAAATGTGGCACATATACACCATGGAATATTATGCAGCAATCAGAAATGATGAGTTTGTGTCGTTTGTAGGGACATGGATGAATCTGGAGAACATCATTCTCAGCAGACTGACACAAGAACAGAAAATGAAACACCGCATATTCTCACTCATAGGCGGGTGATGAAAAATGAGAACACATGGACACAGGGAGGGGAGTACTAAACACTGTGGTCTATTGAGGGGAAAAGGGGAGGGCCAGTGGGAGGGGGAGGAGAGGAGGGATAGCCTGGGGAGAAATGCCAAATGTGGGTGAAGGGGAAAAAGCAAACAAAACACACAGCCATGTGTGTACCTATGCAACTGTATTGCATGCTCTGCACATGTACCCCAAAACCTAAAATGCAATAAAATAAAAAGACCACAAAAAGCATTGTGGCACAACGAAAGTCTCTAAATGTCTTGGTTTAAAATATTTTAATAATGATTTTGGTTTTTTTTTTTTTTTTTTTTTTTTTGCGACAGAGTCTCACTCTGTCACCAAGCTGAAGTGCACAGCAACTTCTGCCTCCCCGGTTCAAGCAATTCTCCTACTCAGCCTCCTGAATAGCTGGAACTACAGGCGCAAACCACCACACCCAGCTAATTTTTGTATTTTTAGTAGAGATGGGGTTTCACCATTTTGGCCAGGATAATCTCTATTTCTTGATCTCGTGATCTGCCGCCTAGCCCTCCCAAAATGGTGGGATTATAGGTGTGAGCCACCATGCCTAGCCAAGAATGATTATATTTTCTATAGGTAATTGCTATAATTGTTGGATTTTATATTATTAAAAGTATTAAGGGGTAATGAATGCCTGTCCACATCCATTTCTATCTGGCCTAGAACACTTTATTGGCCATAAGTCTTTTGGCTCTAAGTCCTTTGGCCTTTGGGAATCTCACTGAGGAATAGGCTGGGCCTAGGGAAGGCAGACATGCAACCCTGTCAACACTATGTGACAAATTAAAAGTTTGGTGGCCATTGAATCTGGCAAATCTTGGACAGAAGGGAGAGAATGTAAACCAAAAATAAAATTCTAAGCCCCACAACATTTGAAAAAAATGCAGAGTGAAAAATATAGAGACACAAAATAATGCGAGACTAGTATAAGTCCCAATGGACTTAAATATATCCATCACAGAAGATGAAAGAAAGAGGATAAGCAAAAGCAGTTATGTTTGAAAATACAATTTCATATTTTTAAAACTAATATAAAAAGCATTAACCCAAAAACTCAAGAGCATTGAAATATAAATCAATTAAAGCTTCCTCACTAAATAAATACAAGTAAAACTATGACATAGGCAGATCACACTTGAACCTCAAGAAACCAGAAACAAAAACAAAATCTCAAAAGCAACCAGAATAAGATAGATTTTCTTCAAAACAGGAGCAATTGATTGATAATTTTCTTATCAACAGGAAAAGTTTGAGAAAGAAGAGTAGCTCAGAGCAGTCTGACTTATGTGAGGTATGCAGAATTGATCAGGTTCAGAGAAGATGAATATGAGACTTCAGTCAGGACAGGACTCCCCTCCCCAACACCCTGCCAGACCCATGCCCAGGGGCAATTGTTAAAGGCATTTTTTTGTTGTTGTTTTTTTTCTTCCTTATAGTTTCCAGACTAGCTGATAAATTACCTAAAATGTCATTACAAGTGGCATAGTGTGACCTTCATGCAGTATCTTCATAAGCTAATAATGATATCTCATGAAGATAATTTACAGCCAATCAATAGTTTGTTATTTAAATGAACAATGTAGGAGCTGCTTTCTTTTTTTCCTTTAAAAACTCACTTGTTATAGCTGCTAATTGGAGCATATATTCAGGGAAAATTGAATCTGTGTTTCTCAGGTTATAGTCCTCGAATTTGATTCAAATAAGCTCTCTACTTATTTTAATTTTGCCTCACTTTCTTTAAGTTGACAACTTTGAGTCCAACTTCATATAGAGAAAATAAGATAACTTCGAACTACATAAAATCCTTCTTCTCTTGCTTTTGCTTTTACTTTTTCTCTTTCCCTTCATTTTCCTTCTCTTCCTGAACTGTTCAGCTCTAAAGCCCATTAAGTGGCACAGAACAAAGCAGGCCTCTGCTTTGAAAGCGAATGGGGCCAGATGGCTCTGGAAGGTCGATCAGAGTCCGAACAGGGTAAAAAGGATGTTAGGAGACATGATGCTGGGTGCTGTAGCTGAGTGGCATGAACCGGACATCTGTGTCACAGAAGGAGTGGCATGAAATGGGACCTTGGTTATACACAGGGAGAATTAATCAAGCAAATTAATTAATTAAGGATAATGGGAGTCAAAGGACAGATGTGATTTATGGCTAGGTAAGACTGCAGAGAAGTGGGAAATGATGCAGGGTCCTTTAGAGAGCCTCGTGGAAAATAAATATATGGTGATCAGTATCTAACACTAGGAACCACTGATGTAAGCAAAAACAAAAAAACTCACAAATTTAAGGTTGAACCAACGAAGCCAGACACCAGAGTGTTCATGCGGTACCATTTCATTTCTATTATATTCACAATCAGACAAAGTAATTAACAGTGTTAGAAATCAGAACAGTGCTTACTTTGTGGGGAAGAAAAATGAAGTGGTGATTGGGGAATGGCACATGAGAGTTTCTGAAGTGCTGATAATGTTCTATTTCTTGATTTGCATATGGGTGTGTTCATTCTGTGATAACTCACTGCATTATGTCTTGTGATTTGTGCATTTTCTGCTAATTTTTAGTTGTACTTCAACTAAAAAAATTAGAAAACTAATACTAATAGGAATAGATTAACACAAACAAAAGTAGATTAAAAATTGAGTTAACAGTGTAATTCCAATTCTAGTCATCTTAGTTTGGTAATAAATTCTTATAATGATCACTATTTTTATTTGTGGAACAAATATTTATTATCAACTAGCTGTCAGGTACACACAGTGATTAAACATAGAGGCAGGTCCCTGGCTCCAGAAAGTTAACCTCATATTGCCTTTCTATGATACATTTATGTGCTCACAGTTGACCCTTGAACATCATGAGACTTAACTATGCAGCAAATTTTCTTACATCTCCACCACACTGAGAAAGCAATACCAAACCCTCCTCTTCCTCCTCCTTAGCCTACTCAACATGAAGACAAGAAGAAGTCTATGATGATCTACTTACATTAATAAATAGTAAACGTGTTTTCTTTTCCTTCTGATTTTTTAAATAATATTTTCTTTTATCTAGCTTACTTTATTGTAAGAATACAGTATGTAATACATATATAAAAGATCTGTTGACTGACTATGTCATCAGAAAGTCATCTGGTCAATAGTAGGTTATTAGTAGTTAAATTTTTGGAGAGTCAAAAATTATATGCAGATTTTAGATGGAGCAGAAATCATGGGTCAACTGCATTAAATAAATATCTATTAAGCACCTTAAATGTGTTAAACTGAGAAAATCTATCTTTAAAAAAAAACCTACCTTATATTTATTTACATAATGAATTTACTCTGGAACATTTCTCATCCTAATTAGAAGCAGAAATCTAGAACTAGAAAATGGCAAAAGTTATGACTAATATAAGTTATTTTACCATAACTTTAACTAAAATTTACTGTGAAAGAATTTGCAGAAAGAGAAGTTTAATCAGTAATATATTTAATAATAAAATAATACTAATTGAAAATATAAGAAGGAAGGAAATAAATAGAATTAAAGTATTTGCGGTTTTGTTACATTAATTGCATATAATTACAGTAAGCAGGCTAGCAAAAAGCAGGGAAAGTACTTCTATAGGAATGGCATAAAAAACAGTTAAATATGGTTTCTAAGTAGCATAAATGCTGTCAAAATCTTTGTTTTAAATTTCTTGAGAATACTTTTTTTTTTGGTAAATAAAGCATTTTCACTCCTGCTCCCAATCACATGCTCAAGTGAAGTGCCTATATACTGTCATCTTTTGTTTATACATAGAATACACACAAAAAAAGACTGCATTTTCTTAGTGCTTAAAAACTGTCAAGTGATTTATATCAATCTCATCAACACCATCTAAAAGCTGTAACACCTCACAATGTCCTACTGAATTCAACGCTTCAATGGGTAGTTACGAACCCTGGGTGCACACTTTTTAAAAAATAGAGAATTCTGGCCCATCCTTGATGATTTTGAGTCAATAGAACTGCACTGGAATGCAAATACCATCAACATTAATTTAAATCTGTCAATTACCAAGAATTCTAAATAATAGAATCCAAATTTGTAAGTTTTTTACTGTTACCTGCGTTATTTTTTTTTAAGAGACCTGCTCTGTCACCCATGCCTGAGTGCAGTGGCATGATCCATGATCACAGCTCACTGTAGCCTTGAGCTCCTGGACTCAAGCAATCCTCCCACCTCAGCCTACCAAGTAGCTGGGGCTATAGGCATGCTTCACCATGCCCATCTAATTTTTTTTCTTTCTTATAGAGATGGAGTCTCATCACGTTGCCCAAGCAGGTCTTGAACTCCTGACCTCAAACAATCCTACTGTCTCAGGGTCCCAACATGCTGGAATTACAGTGTGAGCCTTTGTGCTTGGCCTGCATTGCTATTTTCTTTTTCTAAATTTTCTTCAGTATTTCAGCAGATAGCAGGCACACAGTAAATGTTTACTCAAGGTTTTTAATTGAATGACTGTATAAGATTACTGAAAAAATGGCAGAATATAAGTTTTTAAAACCAAAAATAGTCAGAACATATTCATTAATATTACTTAAATAGCAAAACAATTTAAGCAGTAAATAATGAAATGGAAATAATTTTATACAATCTGAAAAGGAAATGTAGTACTTCATACATGCAATATACCCTCACCATATAGAATGTCCTTTCCCTATTACATAAGGAGTTTATGTATTAAGCACTAAAACTTTGGAATAATAAAAGAATATATTCATATTTGGTAACTTATTTAATCAGAACAGGTTTCCAATGTACATAAATAGATTGAATTTACTCTGTATGAAAAATTGTATTATCTAAAACTTCACAGAGAAAACAGAAAAACTCCACAGTAAGTGTTCAGGTCTGCTAAGTAGTATTTTAAAATCTAAGCATAGGCATGAAAATGAGTGTAGGCATGAAAAATAAATTTCATTGTCATGGTAGCGATAGGTGAACTGGTCAATAAGTAAATCTTGTTTTAGATGTGGTTGTTTCATAACCCTGTGTTGTTGGAGTAATATGTTGGAAGTGATACTGGCCATAGAATTCCCCATGGTACTGATGGTAGATACAGAATCTGGTATAGGAATGATAATAGTAGGTATTAGGATCTAATTTGTAGGTATACTAACCACAGTTGCCCTAGAATAGGTCATTAGAAAGTTGCAATTTTTGTCAAGTGAGAGTAGTAATCTGACTTAGTAAATTTACTAGAAAAATTAATAGTTTCTCATTTATGAATAAGTAGTGAATGGCATTGAATAACATGCCAATAGAAATTGTAATGCTTATAGAGTTCAGTGATAGGATATTAAAAGGTTCAGTAAAGTTTTCTCTGTTGTAGGAGTACATAGAGTAGAACTGTGGTGGTCGCTATTGTGAAATTTCAGTAGATGTTATGGGAGTAGCACATTTTGACGATGTGACATGGTTGATGTGTCTATAAATGGACTTTTTTGAAAAGGCAGTGGAAGAACCAGCAATATTGTGATAGTAGATTATGTATAAACTGTAGTTGCATTTTCTGTTAACAGGTAATGATGCTTATGAAGATTGTAAATTGAGCTGATATTGCTAGGGAGTTGTGATCGAAGAGTCAGTTGAGTTAGTAGTGTATGTGTTGGTTTTTGTTTAGTTGAGCTGGTGGCAGTGGAGGTTAAAGATGATGTTTCAGTTGTATCAGAAAACAGAATAGATTCAGTAACTGAGTTGGAGGTAGCTATTGCGAGGGTTGTAAATTCAATTAAAGTACAGGTGGCAGTGTCTGATGATTTTGCTAAAGTAATAGTAATTTAGGTTCATTTGATATGAAAGTTATTCAGGGCTGAGCTAAAGTTGTTGGATGATTTATGTAGTTTAGCTTCAATTTAAGTATGAATTTTGGTCACTGTGGATACCAATGAGTGAGACTGTTACTGTAATCTTATGATAGTAGATTCAGCAAAAGTTACGATGGTCATAGACTTAGTTAATATGAACCTCGTTCTCATGGCTGTGGCCTCAATTGAAAAGATAATTGTAGTCATGGTAATGCATTCAGTTGAAGGAATGAAGCCTAGAGTTACAGTGACAAGTTTGGATTAAGAGATTTGAACTCACAATTATACTGACAGGTTCAGATGAAGTGCTACCAGTAGGTGTAGTAACACTAACTTCAGTTAAAGTAGCAGCTGATTTTGCGGTTATTAGTTTACTTAAAATGGAGCACTATTATTTGTGTCTACAGACTCATTAGATGAGGTGCATGTTGCTGTTCTGGTAAGTTCAGCTGAAGTGCCATACATGCTTGTATGGTTTGTGGTTAAACCAAAGGAATGGCTGCTGTTGTGATAATTGGTTCTTTTGAAGCAATCATCCTGGCTCTTATACATACAGGCTAATAGAAATGCTGCCTATGATTGCTATGATAATGATCATAGTCAAAATGTGGCTATTTCTGTTTTGCAGGTTTAGTTCAGTCAAAATGCTGGCTGCTGTTGGAGTAGTGGGTTCAGTAAAAGTAGTAATGGAGAATTTTTTGGTTGTAGCCTGAGTGGGAGTGTCTGTGGTTGTTGTGGTGGTTAGTTCAGGTGACCTGGTGGTTGCAGTTGTGGCTGAAGATTCAGTAGAAGCAGAAGTTGGGATCATTGTGATTCACGGCTAAGTGGAAGTCCCTGAAGTTGTTGTGCTAGTCTGTTCAATGGGCATCATGGCTGCTATTGTGGTTGTAGACTCAGTGACGGTAGTGGTAATTTTGGTTGTACCCTCTGTGGAAGTACCAGCAGTCATTGCAGTAGTCTGTTTAGTTTCAGTGCTAGCTGCTATTGTGGTTGTGGGTACAGTAGAAGGGAGAGTGGTGGCTATTGTAGTTGTAGCCACAGTGGAAGGGCCTGACATTATTGTGGCAGTTGTTTCAATGTTGTTTCTGGTTACTATTGGTGTCGTAGATTAAGTAGAAGAGGTAGTAGTGCTCACCATGGTGGCTGTCTCAGTAAAAGTTCTGGCAGTTAGATGGCCAGATTGGCTTGAAGTGGTGACTTCTGAGGAAGCAGTAGTGGTGACCAGTGTGGTTGAAGACTCAGTAGAAGTTGCTGCACTTATTGTGTCAGGCTATCAACTTTCAGTGCTGGCTGTTGTAGTGCTGGGCTCAGTAGAGATGGTAGTGGTGTAAGTGTGGTAGCAGTGTCAGAGGAAGTGCCTGCAGTTGTGGCAGACTGTTCGGTTGTAGTCCATGTTGTTCTTGTGGTTGTGGGTTCAGTAGAGGTGGCAGTGGTGTGGCTGTGGTGGTTGTAGTTTCAGTGGAAGTGCCTATAGTTGTGGTGGCAGACTGTTCAATTGCAGTGCTGGTTATGTTGTGGTTGTGGGTTCAGTAGAGGTGGCAGTGGTGGTTGTGGTGGTTGTAGCTTCAGTGGAAGTGCCTTCAGTTGTTGTAGTAGACTGTTCAGTTTCAATACCGGCAGTTGTTGTTGTAGATTCAGTAGAGGTGGCAGTGGTGGCCATTGTGGTTGTAGTCTCAGGGGAAGTGCCTGCAGTAGTTGTGACAGACTGTTCAGTTATAGTGCTGGCTGTTATGGTGGTGGGTTCCGTAGAGGTGGCAGTGGTGGCTGTGGTGGTTGTTGCCTCAGTGGAAGTGCCTGCAGTTGTGGTAGCAAATTTTTCAGTTGCAGTGCTGGCTGTTGTTGTGGTTATAGGTTCAGTAGAGGTGGCAGTGGTGGCTGTGGTGGTTGTAGCCTCAGTGGATGTGCCAGCAGTTACTGTGTCAGACTGTTCAGTTGCAGTGCTGGCTGTTTTTGTGGTGGTGGGTTCAGTAGAGGTGGTAGTGGTGGTGGCTGTGGTTGTAGCCTCAGTGGAAGTACCTGCAGTTGTGGTGTCAGATTGTTCAGTTGTAGTGCTGGCTGTTGTTGTCGTGGTGGGTTCAGTAGAGGTGGTAGTGGTGGTGGCTGTGGCTGTAGCCTCAGTGGAGGTACCTGCATTTGTGGTGTCAGATTGTTCAGTTGTAGTGCTGGCTGTTGTTGTGGTGGTGGGTTCAGTAGAGGTGGTAGTGGTGGTGGCTGTGGTTGTAGCCTCAGTAGAGGTACCTGCATTTGTGGTGTCAGACTGTTCAATTGTTCTGCTGGCTGTTGTTGTGGTGGTGGGTTCAGTAGAGGTGGTAGTGGTGGTGGCTGTGGTTGTAGCCTCAGTGGAAGTGCCAGCAGTTGTGGTGGTTGACTGTTCAGTTGTAGTACTGGCTGTTGGTGTGGCTGTGGGTTCAGCAGAGGTGGCAGTAGTGGTGGTTGTGATTGTAGTCTCAGTGGAGGTACCTGCAGTAGTGGTGGCAGACTGTTCAGTTGTAGAGCTGACTGTTGTTGTGGTGGTGGGTTCAGTAGAGGTGGTGGTGGTTGTTGTTGCAGTTGTAGCCTCAGTGGAAGTGTCTGTAGGTGTGATGGCAGCCTGTTCGGTTGTAGCACTGGCCACTGTTGTGGTGGGTTCAGTAGAGGTGGTAGTCATGGTGGGTGTGGTCGTAGCCCCAGCGGAGGTACCTGCAGTTGTAGTGGCAGACTGTTCAGTTGCAGTGCTGACTGTTGTTGTGGTGGTGGGTTCATTAGAGGTGTCAGTGGTGGTGGTTGTGGTAGCAGCCTCAGTGGAGGTGCCCACAGTTGTGGTGTCAGACTGTTCAATTGTAGTGCTGGCTGTTGTGGTGGTGGTGGGTTCAGTAGAGGTGGTAGTGGTGGTCATTGTGGTTGTAGCCTCAGTGGAAGTACCTGTAGTTGTGATGGCAGACTGTTCAGTTGTAGTGCTGTCTATTGTTGTGGCTGTGGATTCCGCTGAGGTGATCATGGTGGCTCTTGTTGTTCTTACTTCAGTGTAAGTGCCTGTAGTTGTGGTGGCAAACTGTTCTGCTGCAGTGCTGGCTGATGTTTTGGTTGTGGGTTTAGGAGAGGTGGTAGTGGTGGCTCTTGTGGTTGCAGCCTCTGTGGAAATTCCTGCATTTGTTGTGGCTGTGGCTTCAGCTGAAGTGGTGGCTGGTGATATTGTAGTTGCATTTGAAGTGTTAGTGGAGTTCACTGTGCTGGTAGGTTCTATAGAAGTGCTTGCTGTAGGTTTAGTTGAAGTGGATTTTGTGGTAGAATTTATTATCGTAGTTGTAACTGTAGGTTGAGAAACTGTAGATGAGGTTATTCCAGTGGCAGATGAGGGTGTTCCATGGCTTTGGGGAAACTGGATAACAATGGAGGCATTATTATTTTTCCCATTATACACCAGGGATACTATGAGTACTCCAATTGCTGTTGTTATCACACAGGCTAAGAGACAAGCGAGAAAGGTTTTCCATAGAGACCAGTCACAGAAGAAATTTCGTTTCACCTGGAATGGATTTTTTTTAATTACTAAAGATAAAAATAAATATTTTGTGAAAAATTAATGCCACTGTTTATCCTTTTTATATTATGTTTTCTTCTAGTGGTGTGATAGTTTCAAGTCTTACACTCACGTGTTTTGCCATTTTGTGTTGATATTTGTGTATGATGAGTGATAAGAGTCCAATTTCCCTCTTTTCCAAGCGGATATTCAGTTTTCCCAATACCATTTTTGAAAAGACTGTTCATTGTGTGTTCTTGACATCTTTGTTGAAACCAATCAATCATAAATATGTGGATTTATTTCTAGACTCTGCCTTCTTCAATTGGTCTTTTTTAGGGCCAATACTGTCCTGTTTCAATTACTACAGCTTTGTAGATTTTGAAATAGATTACTTCATTGAATGTATAAACGAAACCAACTTTGCAAAAATTATAACAATGAGGAAATTATCGTAGTGAATGAGATGTGATCTAATCAACCAACTTCTTGCCTTTAAGCTCCAAACTGTCCTTACTAATTCCTGGGCATAATAGGCCTTCCCAAAACTAAACTGCCTTGGTAAAGCTATGAAAGACCACCAGGTGAGGAGAATGAGAGGAACCTGAATTCTGCTGAGACGTAGACATAAATGATTACCTGTCACTTTTCTGGAGATCACAAGATTTACAACTTCCCTAATTACTCCTGCAGATACCTTCATTATTGTAGCACCTAAGATTGGTCTTTTCAGATTTTTTTTTTCAGGTTTTTGCATTTCTGATGACTGGTGGCTCCAACTGGTCCTGTGGCCCCACCTGGAAGCAACTTCAGTGACCACAAGAACCATTTCCTACACTCCTATGATTGCACCCCCAACCAAGCAGTAGCACCAATTTCCTAGCCACCTCTCCTTCTCCCAAACTATGTTTGAAAAACCCTAGCCTCCAAATTTGGCGGGAGGTGGATGTGAGTAATAATAAAACTCTGGTCTTCCATTTAGCCAGCTCTATCTGTTAAAACTCTTAATTGCAATCCCCCTGTCTGACAAATCAGTTCTATCAAATCTGTGAGCAGGAAGAGCCTATTGAGCATAAAACATGAACACAAAAATGATTTTAAATAACAAATGCTGGGCCCAAATTTTAATTTTTATTAGGAAAAACCTTGTACTTTGGTTTTCCTTAATGTTCAAAGAAATTTCCACTGATCTCTCATGCTTTCTCATTTTCATGAATATATCTTTCCAAATTAAAAAATAAGAAATATCTTCTTAGAAACTCTTTACACTTCCCAGGGTATAGAAACCATCTAAGTCAAAGTTGAAAGCATATGAGGTCAGAGCCAGGAGGGCTGCAGAAGGCCGACAGTTAGGCTCAGAGCACACAGGAAGGCAGAGTGAGAGAGATCATCCACAGATTAGGGCCTGGGACCTCAACACATCACTTCATCTTCCACCTGAGCAAGGTTTACAAACAATGTCATTCACTGCCAATGTATTTGCTAGGTTACCACCTAGTCAATACTTCAAAAATAAAAGCCTCTAATTTTTTATTTTCTTTGACCTGCACATATTTTCCCTAAACTCCTTACATGTTTTTATCTTTCTATCAAGATCATTAACTCCTTAAACAAACAGCCCCATAAATCTTCTACTTCTCCTATATTCCCTCTCAGTGACTTAATATTTTCAAAGGATTTCTCAAAAGAAAAATATTAATGTTAATTGACTGAATGTTTTTCCTCCAAGTATTGGATCAAGAGTATTTCCATGTGGATTATATCTTAATCCAGAAAACAGTGTTGTCCCAAGTATTACCTGACAATGTTGGAATTCTCTGTTTAGAAATTCTGAGTGTTCAAGGGTCACTGGGCTGGTGCAGACACCATTTAAATTGGTACCAACATCACCAGTTATTTCCATTGATGTAGAGAACTGACATGCTGAATTGTGAGCTTCATGGTTTCTTGGGCTCAGGAAAGCCTATAGGTAGAAAAGAATGGGAAAAAACATAAAACACATACTACCTATTGAGAAGTCTGGCTCGAGGCCAAAATTCCGTATGTGACCTTTCAGATGCAAATATATGGCCACTGCAAAGTCTTCACCTGGAACGCCTCAAGTAAGGAAGCTGCCTTCCCTGAAGATTTGGTGTAGCTGTGCATTGTGCACTGCAGTCTCTGGAGGAAGCTGCAGTCAGGAACTCATCCTCCCCTTCCCCCACACACCCTGGGTAATCATGCTGTTGAGCATATCTTCATTCCTTGCCCAGGAACTTCCATCTGGACACTACTTTGTTTGGTGTGGGGGTAGAAGCAGGGATTGCCTCAGCTGAGATACTGTTCAAGCACTTATGTGGAGACCTCCTTATCAGAGGCCTTGACAATTTTTTTCCACCCTGATTCAGTGCTCAGCTCTTTCCCACTTCTAGGCCTTCTTCCTCTTTCTCCTCAATCTCCTGGGTCCATAAAATGGCAGAAACCCTTTGTTCAGTGCTTCTTTGGCAATACATCTATCCACATAACTGTTGCCCAGTGCTATTATGTGGAAGGAAAAAAAAAAGGAACATTATGGTGGCTGGAACCCTTTCCTCTTTGACCTCTTGCTTATACTATTGCAATAAGTGAATAAGGGCTTAGTATCACTTTTAGTTTGGCTCAAAGTCCTAATTGACCACCTGGACACCTAGCAGTTCTCAGGACCTATCATATGATATAGTCACTGTGTTCCTGCCTGTACATCCAAGAGCTATGAAAGCTATGTGTTCCCTAAGCCATGGACAAGGAAGTTCACAGAAGCTTGATTCATAACAAAAAGTGAAGACAATTCAAACATCCATCAACAGGAAAATGGATAAATAAACTATGGTTTGTTTATGCAAATAAAATATTTTACAGTAATAAAGAAGAAACAAGTGATATAGATACTGTGATGAGCAACATAAGCCACATACATAAAAGTACTGTACAACTCCATTTATTCAGAATTTAAGAAAATACAAAACTAAGCCGTGGCAACAGAAGTAAGAGTGGTTCCCTCTGAAAGGATGGGGTACTGACTGGGAGCAGCTTAGGGGGTCTTCCCGGATGTTGCAAATGTTTTGTATTTTGATCTAGGGGATGTCACGGGTGATCAGTGACTATCTGGGCCAGCGGCACAGTGGGTAAAAATAATTTATCAAAACACTTGTAGGTAAAGAAAGGTAGAGTTATCAGAGAAAGTTGAAAAATAAGTTGTAAGGAAGCTGCAGGCAAGTTAGCAAGAGGGGAGCTGACAGCAAGGAGATAAAGGCTTGCTGGGGATTTTGTTGGATGGGGTCTGTGCTGTGTGCTGAAGAGGGATTTATGCAGTGTTGATAATGCCAAGATTGCAATGAGCTAACTTACAGGGGTCTGGTGATCAGCTGGGTGCAGGAGGATTGTGAGTTATTTGCACAGGACAGCTATGTGTCCTGGACCATGAAGAAAGGCAGACTTACAGCTTATCTGCTCTTACTTGTTGCTTTCCCTTGGTCCTACCAGCCTGACTCCTTTTCCCTAGTTAAGACTCTACAGGGGTTGGTTACACAGGTATGTGCTTGATGTATATATGTATGTATATGTGTATAAAAATTCATTAACTTTTTCACTTAATATTAGTTTACTTTATGTATGGTTTACATAAAGTATATTGTACCTTAATTTTTAAAAATTCAAAATAATGAGTACACTAAGCTATAGCATGAACAAACCTTAATATATGAAAATTGTTGAAAATCACAGAGGATATTGGAGAATCCCAAGATGGAATACAAAGTAGGATGAAACAATCTGATTGTATTACAAATATAAGAATCAACAACTTCACTGAAGTGGATGGAGTAAAAAGGTGCTGACTAAAGGAACCTTGGGACAAGTGGAGTCTGTCACACTAAAAGCAATAGAAACTAGACACAGCATAGAATCATAGCTGATGCAGTTGTTACCCACAGGAGAACAGTTTAATAATTCCAAACATGCATACTGGAATGAAATAATTAAGCAAATGGATGGAAGATGGGAGGATGAGAGCCAGGTTTCTCCCTGTTAGAGTAGAAGTTTACAGATAAGCAAGAGAAGAAAGTGTAAACTGAAAATAAAATTCTAAGCTGCCCAACTGAATGAACAGACTCCCCTCTTGGCCAAGGGGATCCCAAAGAACCCTGAAAAACTACTTCGAGTCACAACAGGAAGGGTTAGAGGTCAGACATACTTTATTATCCCTCTTCCCTTTGGAGTTTAGGCACAACTGACCAGAATTAACATTAAAATAGAGATCATAGATAAATAAAACAGATTCTTTGTAGCAATGAGATACCCAGCTCCAACCTGACCTTGGTTTAGCATCACATGACAGAAAGCAGGCACTGATGGAAATAAAAGAATTTTACCCCAAATACAAAATGTATTTATTTGACATATTTTGAAATGGCCCTACAAAGCCATCTCTTGTGGGGGAAATTTGTGCTCTGTAGAAAATCCCCTTCCTTTTGCAGGTGTTTTCCTGATTCAGAAGAGATTTAACTGAGTCTCATACCTTTCAAGGTCAGATAAGAGTCATTTGCCATCTGTTAGCTCTGAAGCCTGCCAACTGGAAGCTTCGTCTACATAAGAAGAATCTTGGCTCCCACAACCTTCCTTATCTTAACTCAAGCCTTTCTTTCTGCTGACTTTCACTCTACAGGCAAAGCTCAATGTAATTGCTGATCAGGAAACTTTTGAATCCACCTATGACCAGTGCATACACTCACTCCCCCACCCCACCCACTTCAAGATGCCCTGACTTTCCAGGCCAAAACAATGTATACCCCACATGTATTCATTTACATCTTTGCCTGTAACTTCTGTCTCCATAAAATGTATAAAACCAATCTGTAACACAACCACCTTGGGCACATGTTCTCTGGACTTCTTGAGACCATGTCACAAGCCAGGGTCACTCATACTTGGCTCAGAAGAAACCTTTTAAAATATGTTACAATTTGGCTTTTTTCATCAATGGAGGCTAGAATGATCCATGGATTATTACAGTTAGAGACTGGATGAATTACTGTTGGAGATAGCAATATAAACTCAGGCTTAGCTTAATAGCAACATAGTTAACATATAGAAATACTTGTAGATATGTTTATATGCATGGGATAGTATATTCACATGTCTTCTTGCTTTGTCAGGTGAGGGACCCAGAAGCAACAAAATGCCAGTAGCAACAAGCATACCTAGCACCCAAATCTTGGTTTTTTAAAAAATGTATTTATTAAGCATTAAGTTCTGGGGTACATGTGCAGAATGTGTAGGTTTGTTACATAGGTACACACGTGCCATGATGATTTGGTGCATCCATCACCCTGTCATCTACATTAGGTTATTTCTCCTAATGCTATCCCTTGCCAATCCCCTCCCCCACCCTACCATCCCTCCCCTAGCCCTTCACTCCCTGACGGGCCCTGGTGTGTGATGTTCCCTCCCTGTGTCCATGTGTTCTCATTGTTCAATACCCACTTATGAGTGAGAACATGCAGTGCATAATCTTGGTTTTTAAATACCATTCCCAATAAAAGGACCCAGGGCTCCTTAGAGAAATGGCTGTTTCTAGGGCTAGAGCAGGAAATATATAAGATGACCCTGAGTATCTTGCAGTGTCAGAGAATAAGAAAGTCCCCACTCTCTCCTTTAGAAAAACCCACAATGATGGGGCAGGTCAAACATACACAGAAACCAACTGAAAGAGAGAGATCCCAATGGCCAAAGCTGGAAAAAATGTGAGCAAATAACTGAAGTTGTATTGGATCACCCAAATTAAAAAAAATTAATATCTATGAGTCCATACTGATATAAATAAATGACTAAATCATTAAATAGGGGAGAAGGACAAGTATCCTGTGCAAAATAATTCAGGACAATTTATCTAGATTATCTACCCTCAGGGAACATAATTCCCCACATTTTAAGTGTGGGCTGCACTTTATTGACTTTCTTCCAAAGAATATAGTATAGAAAAGGGGAGAAGTGAGTAATTTTACTGTGAAGAAACCTGGCAAACCACCACCTTGGCCAGGTTAACATCAACAGAGCTAAATCATATTGTTAGTATGTACCCTTGATGTGATAAGTATGGCACTTTAACTTTGTGGTCTGCCCTAAAGAAATCAGTAACACCTATCTAATCATGAGAAAAACATCAGGCAAATCCTAATGCAGAAAAATTCTATAAAATCCCTGACCAGTAGTACTCCTCAAAACTGTCAAGGTAATTAAAAACACGGAAAATCTGAGAAATGATTATAGCCAAGAGAAGGTTAACATACATTTTCTGGTTACATTATTCAGGTTATAATGCCCAGGATTTCTAAGACTGCAAAGACTAGTAACCTCTGTCCACCCTTCACTAAGACTCCCCATATAAAACTGAATTCTGTGGCCTAAGCATTCTGAATAGTATCCAATACTCAACAGAACGTAACAGTCTATGGAAAACTATAGAAGATGCATCATTTAGTGATTACTCAACATACATTTTTTGGCTTCTTTTTGTTCTTTCTAACCTCATAGATTGTACGCCATCATTGGCTAAAGACACCACAGACTTGTTTGAATTTATATACAAATATAAAAAGCATGAGAAGCCATAAAATGTTTGGGTACAGCCATACTCAGCACAGTCTTCATGGAGTGGATAGTGCAAAGGTTAAAGGGAGTGGTATTGAGAAGATATAAATAGAAGACTTTGGACAGGCACAGTGGCTCACACTTATAATCCCAGCACTTTGGGAGGCTGAGGTGGGCAGATCAACTGAAGTCAGGAGTTCAAGACCAGCCTGGCCAACATGGTGAAACCTGGTCTCTACTAAAAATACAAAAATTAGCCAGGTTTGGTGGTGGATACCTGTAATCCCAGCTACTCAGGTGAGGCAGGGAAATCAGTTGAATGGGAAGGCGGAGGTTGCAGTGAGCTGAGATCCCGCCACTGCACTCCAGCCCGGGTGACTAACTGAGACTCCGCCTTCAAAAAAAGAGAAAGACTCCATTTGTGTTTGGTACATGGGTACCTATTTAAAATATTTTAAAAGTAAATGCATTAAAAAGTTGGGTTCAAATGTGAAACAATGTGGGGGGGTTAGGTGTTTCTTAAAGGGAGGTTGACAGAAAAAGTAATCTCACAAACAGTTTTAAGAAAGGCCAGGCGCTGTGGCTCAAGCCTGTAATCCCAGCACTTTGGAAGGCCGAGGCGGACAGATCACGAGGTCAAGAAAATCGAGACCATCCTGGTCAACATGGTGAAACCCTGTCTCTACTAAAAATACAAAAAATTAGCTGAGCATGGTGGCATGTGCCTGTAATCCCAGTTACTCAGGAGTCTGAGGCAGGAGAATTGTCTGAACCCAGGAGGCGGAGGTCGCAGTGAGTAGAGATCGCGCCATTGCACTCCAGCCTGGATAACAAGAGCGAAACTCCGCCTCAAAAAAAAGGAGAATAATCTCTGTTAGATATTCAAAGGACTGTAAATTTGTCCATGTAAATTTGTTACAATTGAAAAATATTATATAATTATCTAGAACTTTTTTCTAATAGGACGGCAAGAATATTATTTAAATATATTCTCCCGGCCAGGCACAGTGGCTCATGCCTGCAATCTCAGGATTTTGGGAGGCTGAGGCAGGTGGATCACCAGAAGTCAGGAGCTTGATAACAGCCTGGCCATCATGGTAAAACCCTGTCTCTACCCAAATTACAAAAATTAGCTGAGTGTGATGGCAAATGCCTGTAATCCCAGCTACTTGGGAGTCTGAGGCAGGAAAATCTCTTGAACCTGGGAGGTGAAGGTTGCAGTGCACTGAGATCATGCCATTGCACTCTAGCCTGGGCAACAAGAGTGAAACTCTGTCTCAAAAAGTAAAAAATAAAAATAAATAAATAAAATAAATATACTCTCTTGACCTTCTTGATTAAATGCCCAATCCTAAGTGGATTTTTAAAAAGCTACTGACATTGCCAGATCAATTAATCTCTAAATTCTATTAAAACAAGAGTTTAATTGTGATTAAATACAGTCAAGAAGGAATATATCTGGGTGTAAAGACTTAGCCAGAGTCTAATTTTTCTTAAGGCACAATAGCATGCCAGAACATTTTTTAAGTAGCTATTCAACAATATTAAATAAGATAAAATAGGATATACACAGGTACTTTAACAAAATCCCATCTGTTTTTCAATCAGAAACTTGGAGAAAAATAACGAAAATGTATCTTTTCTAAAAGCTTCATTTATTCTTCAGCTATTTAGTATACTGAGGGTGATGAACTTAGTTTTTTGTTTTTTAACTTTTATAATTAAATAACACCTCACTTTCCATACCAGCTTGCCTGAATTTCTTTTAAGTTCTTTATAAAGGAAGGAAGATAGTGGGTATCTATACTAAGAATGGAGAACCTACCCCACTGGAGCTTTGGGGGTAATATAATTCTTGCTATCTCAGTTTCTCCTGTCAGTCTCTAAAGTTAAAAATTAAAGTTAAAAGTTGTCTCTAAAGTTAACAATTGATCGGTTAGGGAGCTGTGAATTATACTTAATTAGCTTTTGGTAGCAGCAAATAATCTCCATTGTACATCTGATACGCATTAGCTATACACACGGAGTAAAATTTTAAACTCCCTATTCATAAAGAGATTAATTTACCAATTTTTGTTTCCTAAGAGGGAAAAACAAACTCCTAAATTTTATTTTTATGTGGCCTTCAATTTCTATTTAATCCATCGATTAAAATGGCCCTCAATGAAAAAAAAAAAAAAACATTTTTTTCTGTCACTACATCCAAGTATACATACAGATATAAGTGAAATATTCAGTCAGTGTAAAAATACATAACCTTTATTTGAAAACAGCATTGCTTAGAAAAACAGTCAAGATGACTAACTAATTCCTATTACCAAATAAATCTTTTCATTTGAGTATGTTGACACTGTGAAGACAGAGTGACAGATTTGCAAGGGTAGATGGACCATAAAGACTGTCTTCAGGGTAGAGGGGTACTGATCTAGAATCAAAGGAGAAGTTTCTCTGCCTTATAACTTCCTTCTTAGTGCATGGAGAGAAAAACACTTTTACTCACAAAACATAACTATCCATTCAAACTCATACTGATTTCATTCAGCATATGTACATTTCTGTTTCCAATATCAAGGACTCTAGTTAGACATGAAGAGTTTTATAAAATGCAATCATAAAACATACAGAGCTAAATTGTTTCTTCTAAAATCCTAAACAATAAACAAGGTTGTATGTAATTGAACTCTAAAATTTTACCTAAATACAATTCTTTACCAAAAAAGAAATTTATAAGCACTTAAGTAGAGGCCAGTCTAACGGATTTGCTAGGTAATTTGTTTCCTAGGCCTCAACTTCACTTACAAGATTCATTTCTAATTCCCAAAGATAGGCATAAATATTTGGGTTCTGATAAATCTAGATATTTTACTAACAATCTTGGCAGTTAACATAAAAATCTATATTTCACATTTTAAAAGTTTAATTTGCTAATTCAATCAAACTTATGTTTGTTGTCTTATGCTTAAATTATAATAACTGTAAAGTATTACTCAAATATATCATTAAATTGTTACCCCCCCAAACTGCTAATACCTTAGATCAGTGATTATTTAAAATAAGTTTCTCTACTATGCATGTATTGATATACAGAAAAAAACACATTTTCTAATTAAGAAGCTGTAATAGAGTAGGTAAAAATTGGCTTCCATGTAAAACTTTAAGAATTCCATTTTGGGAAGAACTATGTTATAATTTTTACAACTTAGGGTTTCATAAATACTGAAATTAAGATTGTAGACTAGCAGAATATATCACAGTGGTGCCACCAATACTCACTTGCTGGTTTCCAGAGCGTTCAATATTCACTACATATTTCCCATGTTTTCTGTCCATTCTTGAACTGCCAATATCACAAGCTTAACTCCAGGAACATTTTTCAGCCTCTTCATTGCCCTTTATACCTGCAACCTTGAGAAATAATTGAGTTGATTAACAGTGAATCTACTATGAGACATCAGTGCCAGTGTGGATTAGACTAAATAATAAATAATTATCCCTCCCTGAAGGATCCACCTTCAGCGAAGAAGTACAGTGTTAAGTAATCATGTAAAGAAACAAGAAAATCAATACCACCTCTGTGACTACACTCTCAATGCTCCTCCACAAACAGCCTGCTTAAGAGAAAGAAACTGCCCTCAGATACATTTCTTCCTTCTCTCCCTATCACATCATCTCTCAGGACTCTTCCTTCCGACCTCAAGAACAGCCCGAGACAGGAACAGAATTCTGGAATAAGTGAATGTTTCTGTTGCTTCTTTTCTAATGTTTCTGTTGCTTCCTTCTAACCACATGTGACTGTCTTTTCCTCAAATAAGAGGAAATAACTTTCAGAGGAAACAAATTTACACACTCACCACCCACTGCTCAAGTCTTGACCTTCTTGGGTACCTTTCTGTGCTCTACAACTTTTCCAGTCTATTCTCTTCCTCTCTCTGCTTCTGAAAACAAATTAAGCTGACTTGGCTTAGCCTTCTTCAAGCTCCAATACACCACAGATAGTTAATCTGAGGAACAAATCTCTGCACATGTATTCACCAGGGTTCCTTTTTCTTCACATCTTAGGGGCTCCAATTGGCATGGCCACCCAAACGATTACTTCTGATTGTGTTTACAACTTAATAACAGGGCATGTGGGCAGATGAGGCTCTTCCAACTATTAAAAATTATACTCCAAAGCAAAGGCATTTTTCTTATCTGTAGAAATATCTTTGGTAGAATCTAAAAGACAATTGGCAAGAGTTAAGAGATAATATTTAATCTCTGAAATGAAAATTACCAGTCCTCTCCCAATACATGTATCTAGGGAATCTGAAATAAAATTGGTGCAGAAAGTTGTTTGTGAAGAATGGTGTTTAAAAACCTAAAAGACTGAAATGTCTCTTAAGTAGTAGTTAATCCACCAATTATTTCTTGCAAATGAAGCAACAAAGACAAAGTAGTTGTATTCTTTTGTGGAAAATGTCTCATGATCAGACATCTATCAGGCTTCAAAGATAAGAACTATCTGTTGCAAGAGACCTGAGAGATCTTGTAGCTCAGCCATGTCATTTTAAGGTTGAGGAAATTTGTGCCCAGAGAGAGGAAGTGGTAAGAGCCAGTTGCATTGTGGAACCTGGCTTTTCTTTGCAGTCTAATATCTTCTCCACAAATACTTTATTAATAATGACATGGTAGAAAGATGGACAGCTTAGTAGGAAGTCAAGGAAATATCTTTTTGAAATTAAAGACAGGCAAAGATTTCAAAGACTTGGAGTTAGAGAGAATCCTAGATGGAATGCCTATTATTTATCTGTCATTATCTGAGAAAAAACCAGCCTCTCAGGGGCAGGATCTGGGAGTCTGAATTTTGGTCCTGTTTGTCCAAATTTTAAGTAATCTTTATTCAAACAATGTTTGAGAAATATTTTACTAAGCAATGATTCAAGGGTAATCATGAAGTAGCTTAGTATCTTTGGGAAGAAAAGTGTGTGGGTGAAGAAACTTGAATTTTCTTAAATAAAAAATGGTTAAGTTTTTAAGTGCTTTATTTTTTCAACAAGTAATTATGGAGTCTCTATTATAGTCAAGCATTGTGCCAAGTGCTGACTGTTCAATGGTGAAAAAGAGCAAATATTATGTATTTTAAAACTTTGTAATCCTTTCTAAAGTTCTTTTATAAATGCATTCTTCAGCAAAAAGTTTCCATTGGAATCCACTGAAGCAAAGAAAAACAGCCCTGGGGCCTATAGTACAAAAAGGTCATGAAAAATCTAGGGAAGAAATTTGGTCCAAAAGAGTCAGAAACAATGGCTTCTGGGACTGTTTAAGTAGAGTGTTCATGTACTTCACCATCATTCTCAGCAAACTGACATAAGAACAGAAAACCAATACCGTATGTTCTCACTCATAAGTGGGTGTTGAACAATGAGAACACATGGACACAGGGAGGGGAAAATCACACACCGGGGCCTGTTGGGGTGTCGGGGGTAAAAGAAGGATAGCAGGGGGTAGGCGAATTAGGGAAGGATAGCATTAGGAGAAATACCTAATGTAGATGACAGGGTGATGGATGCAGCAAACCACGACGGCATGTGTATACCTATGTAACAAACCTGCACATTTAAGTACTCCAGAACTTAAAATATAATTTAAAAAATTAAAATAAAGAAAATAAAAAGGCAAAAGCCAAACATAATGTTTTGGATATTAAACCACACACACACACACACACACACACACACACACACACAAATGCCTTTTGAAAGTATTCACACCTGTAATCCCAGCACTTTGGGAAGCCAAGGTGGGTGGATCATGAGGTCAAGAGATCAAGACCATCCTGGTCAATATGTTGAAACCCCGTCTCTACTAAAAATACAAAAAATTAGCTGAGCACAGTGGCGCATGCCTGTAATCCCAGCTACTCAGGAGGCTGAGGCAGGAGAATTGCCTGAACCCAGGAGGAGGAGGTTGTGGTGAGCCACAATTGCGCCATTGTACTCCTGCCTGGGTAAACAAGAGTGAAATTCCAGCTCAGAAAAAAAGGAAGCCGTAGTAGTAATTTCACAGAGACAACAGTATCTCATGCAAACAAGACAGGTTGTCACTTAGCTATAAGGAACCTATGTGAGTTCGAAGATTCGCTAGTACTAAACTATACCACTATTGAGTGGTGTATTTAATATCTCTAGTGAACACATGTGTCAGTTAACTAGATTATATATTTTAGTTGAGCTATTTTAAAATTTAACATAGCATTGTGATATGAGATACAAATATTTAAATTTTGCACCAGAGTTTCATAACCACCAAGTAGGTAGAATTCCAGAAAAGTGTATCATTATTTCAGAAATATATGGAGTATATACATCATTCTTTCAGTGACAAAACATCAAAGTCCCTTTCTCACTATCATTAATTGATTGACCATTGCAAGAGCCAAAGAAAGAATGCACATGTAAATTACCATGTTCTTAAATTTTCAGTGTAAAATTCAAACTTACACTATTTTTCCAAAGAACATATTTTGTTCATTTATTAATCTTACATCACAGGCCAACTGCTAGAGTAGAGTGCACCTGGATTATTACAATGTGCAAAGAAAATACACCTATCTCCCATTGGTATGCTGAATATCTCCTGCAAAAGCTTTCTATATTTGCAGAATTTTAAGCCAAAAAATTTGGAAGTCTACATTAATTAAGAATAGTTGACAGTCCTTCAATAACAGGGTTTCCTTTTTTTAGCCAAAGGAAAGTAGTCTGTTAATATGTCATCTAGCATTATAAAATGAAGTACATCATAGTCCTAAAGATACAATAAAATAGATTTATTTATCATATTACCCACATCAAACATTTCTGTGACTAAGATTTCCCCATGAACTGATAGTAATCAAAACACCTCTGTGTCTCTGCTTTGGTCTTTCAATGTGATGAGAACCAATATGACAGTCCCAGCTCTATTACCTTTAGCAATTTTTTGATGTGCCAGGGCCATTATTATAGTTCATCATATTGTGTTGAGTGATCAAATGGTAATGAAATAAGTGGATACCAGATTTCAAAGACTTCAGTACAGAATTCAGATTTATATTTCCTGTCAATTTAAACTTGAAAAGATAATTGTTCAAAATGTGTGGAAGTTAAATGTCAAGTAAATGTCAAGCCAGTAAAATGACTATGTGAAGAAATGATCAAGTGGGAGAGTGAAGAAAACAAAACTATCTGAAAATCTGTTTAAGAAATCATCTCTGTCATACCCCTCCAGTGACTCCCAGAAATGTGCCTTAAATAAATTAAGGGTTCTTTTTCCTTGATTTAAAGAAAAGGCTACAGGAGGGCAGTTCAGGTGTGGGTGAGCAGTAGGAAAATAAATGTTTTGTCCCTTGCTGAAGAATGTCACTGGTGCGCATTAACTGGCTGCTGGGTGGCATCTGACTCAGCCACAGCTTGTTAATGATATTATAGCCATTTCTTGAGGAGGAATGCCTATTCCAAAGCATACCGCACTGATCATTTCTAATCCTCCTAGTATCTTCCTGAATTAAATATCATTACCCCATTTTTCTGATGAAATACCAAAGCATTTAGTGATACTTTATGAGTCCTAATAAGTTCGTGACTCCCCATTCATTTATTCAAGAAGTAGTTATTTAATTCCTAGTACATTTACTGTGCTACATTAGATGCTGAGAAAAAAAATTGGAAAATGGAGACAGATATATATTTAGAATCTTAATCTCTTATGGATAGGAAAAAGATCAGAAATCAACCAGAAACTCTACCAACACATCTCAATATATTAAGATAACATGATTGTTTACTGACAGCAAGAAATGAGTGGTAGTAATGCCTAAAAACTTGCCTGCCCACTAGCAAGAGGTTGCTGAAACTCAGACCCAAATTACATCACAGGCTGAGAATTCTCAAAGAGAAGGTAAAGTTTATTATTTTTGCAAACTCAGAATCTCTGCCAAGGGTTCAAGTAAATGATCAACATGAGAGAAGCTAAACAAAGATATCAAGGCCTTCTAGAGGTGCAATTCCATTAAAGAATCCTCAGGAATCCAGGCATTCATTGACATCTACGTCATGGTCTACCCAAGGGGAGCAGGGCTATAGCATTGGAATAGATGAGACTCCAGCCCATAGGAATGGAAACTGGAAAAGGACAAAACAAGGCTTCCAGCCCTGTTGGAGAACAGTGGAGAAAAAAGTAGCTACTAGAGCAGAATTCAAAGGGAAAACCAGGAAAAAGTCAGGTGTATAAACTGAGTCACACAGAGAGGGCTTGGGCTTGTAACCTCTGGCATAATAATTATTATCAGATCTGATGCACCATGGAATTTGGGTTGAGTCCTGATCTCCAGACAAGAATGAAAATACTAGCCATTTATGTTGTTTGTTAAATGTTGTAGCTCTCCCGTTTTCAATACATGATAAGGTTGCACTTTCTAGCCTTCTGTGTTTCTTCTCAGTCTTCTTGAATTCAGGTTATTTGGCTAGAGTTGTAAGCAAAAGATGTATTTATCACTTTGAAGCCAGACATTTAAAACTGATGCAAGTCATGAGCCACAATCAAAGATGATGTTCTACAAAAAGGCCAGGTTCCATTAGCCCAAGTTACAGAATGAGGACAATTGTAAATGAAAAGAGCCCATAAGTGACCAGTAACAGGTAGGCAGTATGAGCAAGAAATAAACCTTTGTTATAAGTCATTGCAATACATAAGTTGTTTGTTATTGCAGCAAAACCTAGCCTGTCCAGAATAATACAGAGATCTGAGGAGTCAGCAGCGGGACATTATACTTCATCAGGTCACAACTGCAACATAGATATCAGAGCCACAGTAGACAGAGGAAGATCCTGGCACTCCATTGTTCAAAACTGAAGCTATATCTAGTCAGTGAAATCTGTCTCAGTCATGGTGGGTTTGGAATTTAGGCAGAACAGAAGCCGCTGTGGGGTGCTGGAGTAGACTCTGGAAGGAGGAATATGGTGAATATGACAGTTAAGTCATTCAGTATGCAGAGAGAGCAAAGGCAGTGACTGATGTAGAATAAAGCCAGTTGCTGATGGCTTCTTGGAGGGCGTAAATTATGAGCCAGATCATAAAGGATACTAGAGGTTGGCAAAAAGAGCAAAAGTAGGTGTTGTAAAAGAAGAGAGCCTTTAAGAGAGAAGTATAATGGGCAAAAATAATGAATGTTGCTGAGAAAGATGCTAGCCAATACCTTGATTGTAGAGAAGAACTACAGGCAGGAGACTTCCTACTAATTGCCAAGCCCTGTGCTAAAAAATCTCATAAATCTCCCCCTCTGTAAGGACAGGAGCCTCATTGCTGGTCTTTTCAGTCAACTCTCCTCCAAGGATGCAGAGTGATTCTTAAAGGCCATCCCATGATGCCACGCCCTACTCAACACTGATGGATTCCCAGTGCATGAGAATGAAAGTCCTAAATCTTTAACAAGGCAAAAAAGGCCCTGCTAAATCTAGCTCCATCTGCCCCCTTAGCTGGCTCTGCTCTCCTCTTCAGACACATTCAGCTTTTTCATAAACCCAGCAGAAGCCTGACTCAAGGTCTCCTGCTTATGATATCTTCTCTCCACCCCTAACTAACTTCCCCAGGCTCATGTCGACCCATCTAGGCAAAATAATGACCTTCTCAAAAATGTCCAGACTTAATGCTCACAGATACATTAGGTAATATGGCAAAGGAGAATTAAGATTAAAGGTGGAATTGAGTTGCTAATTCATTGACCTTAAAATAGGAAGATTGTCCTGGATTATCCAAATGGGACCAATGTAATCAAGGGTCATGAAAAGTGGAAGAAGGAGACAGAGTGAGCCTCAGAAAGAGATATGACTGAAATGATCAGAGATAGGCAACTTTGAGGGCTTTGAAGATGGAATAAAAGGACCATGAGCCAAGAAATGTGAGTAGACTCCAAAAGCTAGAAAAAAGCAATAAACCAGGTTCGAGAGACCCGTAGAGAGGATCCAGAAAGTGCTGAGGCCCGCCAATATCTTAACTTTATCCTAGTGAGATCCATACTGCACTTCCAACTTTCAGAACTGCAAGACAATTAATCTGTGTTGTTTTAAGTCACCAAGTTTATGGTATTTGTTATAGCAGCCATAGAAACCTATTATCTCATTTTCCAGGTCTCAGTGTGAATCTCACTTTCCAATTTAAATTAATTCTTCTACTTTTACAACCTCTCCAGTACTCTGTTCTTTCTTAGGACTTACCACATTTGGTCATGAAGTATTAATTTTGTGATCTGTTTAATATCTATCATGCCTCTTGAATCCAAATTCCCACAAGGGTGGTAACTGTGCAGTTTTCATCATCATCATATCTCCAACAGTGGCATATGGTGGGCCTTCAATGGGTATTAATTGAATAAACACATAAAATATTTCTACATGCCTATGAGGTATTTAACAGGTTAAAAAGAATTCAAAGTTCAGAAAGGTGTAGGCTGCAGATTTAGAATTCAGACATCAGTCAATCTCAGACCCAGGTCTTCCCTCTAGGCCTGTGGCTGGGTCATTCATTATCCCTTTCTTAGCAGAATCTCTAGGGGTAATTCTTGCTAACAGTTATTCCCTCTCAGTGAATAATTCTGTCCTCAGTAACTTGTGCCTTTAAAGACACTAGAAGCTCTGCAGCTCACACTCAACACCTTTCAGATTTGACTGAGACCCACGGGCTACCACATCCATATCTGCCCCCAGACTGATCCATTTGAAACCCCAATGCTTATTCATAAAATAAAAAATAAAAAAAAAACAGGAAAATAAAGAATCTTAGCCTTTTTAAATTTTGACCTTTAAATAAAGAGATACATGTTGGGGGTTCTTCATAATTTAAATTTTCTAATTCAGAGTACTGGATAAGAGTCAATCAGCCAGACAACAATCAGGCAGTGTCCCTCTCTTATCAGTTTTGCCATGACCTTTCATCATGCACACCCATGCACACACTCATTCATTCGTGTATGTACTCAGTAAGTGTTTGCTGAGCCTTTTTCTGTGCCAGGCCCATGTTAAGCCCTTCATAAGCTTTCTTTTTCATTTAATCTTTGCAACTGCATTTACAAGCAGGTAATATTAGTCTTCCCATTTCACACCTAAGGAAACTGAGCTTCTGAGGTGTCAGAACTTGCCCAAGGTCACACGGGCAGTGAGTAATTGAGTTCCAGTTTTCCTCCTAGCCAACTTCTACTTTTCTGTCAAAACCCAGCTTCAACATACATCACCGCTTAATCACAGGTTTTGAGTGTGGCCTTGGGAAGTGCTTCCCCTGTCTTCTGCCTCCAACGCCCTCTGTCTTGCAAGTAAATGGCTCTTAGATCAGTGATTTGTGATTATCAATATTTACAGTTATCTTTCTAAAATTTGAGCTCCTCATGGTATAAAATGATAGAGAATTTTTTCCACCATTATCTCTTAGCTAAAAAAATTAGTAAACTAAACTACTTAAAGGTGAAGAAAACTCTTGGTATTCATAAGGGGACAGGAAGTGTAATTGAGGACTTTTTTTTTTCTCTCCCATTTTTGGTATGAATAATTCAGGCTTAAATAACATCTGAAAACTCATAGAACTGAAATTAGGGAGAAAAAGAAAAGTGTTCCTTACCTAGCACCGTGTGACATGACCGCAGGTCATACCTGCCCATCTCCTCCAAGAGTCACACACCATACCAGTACAAGCTCAATCAAAGTCTAGGCTGCCCTCAGGCCTCTCAGGCCCCAGAGAGGCCTCTGTCTCAGAGGGTGGAGCTGCTCACTTTTTCCAGGTAAGGGACTCACTGTAAAATTCAGGTCAGCCACACAAAAATAGCTTGCTCTAGGGATTAAGGGAGGGACTGAGGAGAGAAGAAAATCCAGGACACAAGAATTACCACAGGTTGGGGTGTTCAGACTGTGGGTCCTAGAAACAAGACTCAGTCTCTTAGTGGCATCCAGGCTCTGTATCCAAAATGGAGGTCACAAAGTCCATCCCCTAACCCATGATGCTTAGAAACTGACATCTTTCCATAATACAGTTTGTCCAGCACTAATTATTAAGTAGGAAAAAGAGGCATTTGTATTGCAAACCAAAAAAAAAAAATAAGAGTCATTTATTTACATTTCTTTAACAAACACCTAAGGACTTACTAAGTGCCACTATCCCTAGCTTTGCTGGGGCTGACTAGTGATTCAGAAAGCAGTACCTGAAGAAGGAGGAAGTAGCTTCCAAAGACCACAGCCTCATACAATGAGATAAGATTTCCTAATCCCATGATCACTGAGATCACTGAGGCTAAGGAAGCCAGATTGTCTTTTCCTTATAAACTGTAATTGACTTTTTTCTCTTTTTTGTCTCCCAGTTTTGGTAAGAATGATTCAGGCTTAAATAACATCTGGCATATGGTGAACCTTCAATGAGTATTCATTGAATAAACACAGAAAACAATTCTACATGCCTGCAACATATTTAACAGGTTAAAAAAAATCAATTACCATTTTAACTGGCATCCAATCATGTAAATATGCTAGGGAACAGATAATTTACTAAAGAAGAAACTCCAAAAGTTAACAAGCATAGGAAGAGATATCCAAAACCATGAGTAATCAGACAAAAAAGCAAATGAAAACACTAAGGCAACACTTTACACCAGAGAGTCCCTACTTTAGCTATGCATAAGAATCACTTGGAGAGACTTTTTTTAAAACCTAACACGCAGGCCCTACCCTGAGAAATTTAGATCTAAATATTCTGGGTCGTGCTTGGGCATTGGTTTTATTTAAAAGTTCCTGGGGTTGGCCGGGCGTGGTGGCTCACGCCTGTAATCCCAGAACTTTGGGAGGCCGAGGCGGGTGGATCACGAGGTGAAGAGATCGAGACCATCCTGGTCAACATGGTGAAACCCCGTCTCTACTAAAAATACAAAAAATTAGCTGGGCATGGTGGCGCGTGCCTGTAATCCCAGCTACTCGGGAGGCTGAGGCAGGAGAATTGCCTGATCCCAGGAGGCAGAGGTTGCACTGAGCCGAGATCGCAGCCATTACATTCCAGCCTGGGTAACAAGAGCGAAACTCTGTCTCAAAAAAAAAAAAAAAAAAAAGTTCCTGGGGTGTTTTTCTAGAAATTGCATAGCTAGAATTAAAGGCCTATTGCACTGGCAAAAAAATGCAAAGCTGAATAAATGCTGGGCAGGTTGGCAGCAATTCTAGAATCTGGCACTACAGGTCCTTGGTCAAATTAAGGCCACACATATCTATGAACCAGTAATTCTGCTCCTAGGTGTGTGTATGAATGTATGTATGCACGTACACACACACACACACACACACACACACACAAATTATATAATTTTATACATGCATGTGTATTATATATGACTTATGTGTGTTAGATTCACTCATTCTTCTGCACCTACTTTATATTATGTATTTAATATAAATGGTATATATAACTTTATACACATACTACATAGATATACATACCTAAATTATGTATATATGTGTATGTGTATATATATAATGATGTATATAACTTTATATACTTACACACTAACCCTATATATAAAAAACACTATAGTGTGTGTATAAAGTTATATCGCTTATATTATATACAAATACATACACTATATATATATTATATTATTTACATATTATATAAAGTATCTATAAAGTAATATATAATTTTAAAGTTTTATATATATATATAATTGGTTATAAATATATATACTTATACCAGCTCAAAAATAATATTTCTGGGCCAGGTGCAGTGGCTCATGCCTGTAATCCCTGCACTTTGGGAGGCCAAGGTGGGCAGATCACTTGAACTGAGGAGTTCAAGACCAGCCTGGACAACATGGTGAAATACAATAAAAACATGACAGAAAAGATTTTAAAAGGTACATCTGTATAAGACACCATGAATGGAGGCTGCAGAACTGAAAATTGCTCTGGGTGAGTCAGTGAGTGAATGTGAAGACTGAGGGCATTACCACACACTACTGCAGACCCTATAAACACTGTACAATTAGTTCTATCATATTTTTTGAATGTTTTCCTTTCTTCAATAATAAATTAACTGTAGTTTTTCAAAACATTTTTGCTCTACAATCTTTTCCATTTTTTAACTTTTTGACTCTTTTGTAACAGCACTTTTAGCTACTATCCTTATTCTGTAAGCTTTTCTACTTTAAAAATTTCGAGTTTTAGAATTTTTAAAACTTTTTTATTAAAAACAAACACAGAAACATACACATTAGCATAGGCCTACACAGAGTCAGGATCATCAATATCACTGTCCTCCATCCCCCCATCTTTCCTCACTAAAAGGTGTGCAGGGGCAGTAACAAACCTGAAGCCATCATCTCCTATATCATTGCCTTTTTCTGGAATATCTCTTTAAGGTCCTGCCTGAGGCTATTATATAGTTAATTTTTTTATAAGTAAAAGGAGTACAAATTAAAATAATAAATGTTTAGTATAGTGAACTTATAAACCAGTAATATAGTTGTTTATTATCATTATCAAGTGTCATGTGGTATACCTAATTGTATATACTATACTTTTATATGACTGGCAGCACAGTAAGTTTCTTTACACCAGCATCACAAACACATGAGTAATGCATTATGATAAAACATGCTAGAAATTTTTCAGCTCTATTATAATCTTACAGGATCACCTTCATACATGTGGTCCATTCTTGACTGAAATGTCATTATGTAGAGCAAGACCATATTTTATAAATTTCCTTCTAGTCTTTTACTATAAATATACAAATATAGAAGGTAAATGAGTATATTTTTACTAAAAAAGAATTATACCAAATACATAGCATAATGCAACTTTGTTTGTACCTTGAACACAGTGTAACAGACTTCTTTATATAACATTTCATCTAGATCTACTTTGTATCTTGAGTGGCTGGCTATACAATATTCAATAGTATGAAAAAAACTATAATGTATCTGATCATTCCCCTGTTCATGTTCTTTGATTTTCAATTTTGCACTATTGCACATAATGAGACAATGAACATCTTTACACAAATATTCACCCATATCTGCATGATTATTTCTTTAAGTTTCTGTAAGTTGAACTGCTGGATCAAAGGGTATGTGTGTTCCTCATTTTTTATAGGTTCCATTTAACTGAACTTACAGAATTTGTATGAACAACACTATTAATCTTTTCATATTTTGCAATTCTGATAGGTAAAAAATCACAACTCATTGTAATTTTGTGTGTCTTCTTTTCAGAAAAATTATGTCAGTAATTGACATAAAATAATATATATAACTATTATAATAGTCCAACTAGAATAAAGAATATTATACAGGTAATACTATAATAGACTGCATAAAGTAATAGCTTTTTTCATCATCTCAGATAAAAATTATCAAATAACAGAGAGTGCCACACTTAGCTTCCAGTTGAATGCTAGTGTTTGCAGTTGCTACTTACATATAATAAGCACTTAATATATGACAGGAATTAGATTCATTACTTTATGTATATTGTCTCATTTAATTCTCATAACAACATTTGAGGTAGATGGTGATAGTATCTCCATTTTACAGGTGATGAAGCCGAGTTATATATAAATGTAAAACTTGCCGAAGGACACATATTGGTAAGTGGCAAACAGGGAATAAAACCAGAAAATCTGACTCCAGAGTTCTTGTCCTTGACTGATATACTCTGCTGATCACAGTGTACCACATAGAACCTATGAGAGCTTTATCTCTGCTTTTATAGTAATACAGAATAATAGATAAAGCCCCTAATTTTAAGCATAAGTTGAATAGAGGAAGATATGTGACACATGATTAGGTAAGTTTTCTGTGATGATTAGTTGTCTACCTAATATAGAAATATGATAGCAATAGTTCCAAGTTACATTGATTTTTGGCCTCCTATAAAACCTTATCAATTATCAACCATCTTTCCCAAAATGACAGGTCTACCAAATAACAAAGGAATTAAAATTAAGATTAAATTAAAATAGGAGGCCAAAAATTAATGTAACTTGGAAATATTATATCTCTGTATTTTTGTACTTTTTTTTACAAATACTTTCTGTTTAAAATAAATGTTTAAGTAAATTCTGCATCTGAAATTATCAAAATAACCCACCTATGTATAGGATCCAAGGAGTCTTATGCTGTGTTAAAGTGCTATCTACAGCAATCATTGAAATATCTGTACAAAATATGTCTGCAGGATATTCCTTACCATGTTTATTTCAACATCAACTCCTTACATTAAGTGCCACTCCATCAGCCATGGTCCATGTTTATCCCATGGTTATTTTCATTCATTATTAACATCTCTTGGAATGCAGGAAATATTTCTGAAAGGAAATGAGCCAGGCAGACATATCTGGAGGCTTCACAGATGGCATTTTTTTTAGAGTAGTTTTGTTTTCATTTTGCTATTGAAAAGTCCTTCTAGACCCCTTTGCAACATGTAATAATGCACTCACATTAACCGATACATAATGCGTGCTTCTGCTATTTTTTCCTCTGCCTCACTTGGCAATTAAACACATGATTTCCCTGCAAATGACTATAATTTTTTACTTCCATAATATTTATGTCAACATCAAAGGAGCTGGGAGTTGGCATCCTGAAAACCTGACCATCTGAGGCAATGGCAGAAGCATGTAATTTCATCTGTATCCACTAATTACCGGATGATCAGAACACCAGAAATAAAAAATCATATGCTAAAAAACCATAATGTGTGCCCTCAGCTGGCTAAATCAGTAATTTGAAGCTATGTGCAAATGAGCACATAACTTTCTGAGTGATTTATTGCTGTTTTGGGAATACAGACTGAGCTTGGAAAATATCTCATTTGACCTGAACTACAAACTTTAAGATGACTGTGACTTAAAGCCCCACTCAGATGATACAAAGACGTCTATAGAAGTGGCCCTTTCTATGTCAAAAGGTATGATGAGAGAGCATATGTTTTGCAGAACTGTCCATGAGATTGTCTAAACAAGGCGGCAATAAGTTGAAGGAAGAATTCAGACACTGAAACTCCCATAGCTATTTGTATTTCTGCATTTGGGTCTCATGAAAAGAAGATGATGTGCCATTTAAGTTTTCGTTGCATCCCAGGAACCACTAGCTCCCTCTTTTCACATTCTAAGTTCACAAGGCCTTCAACATTAAACTAGTCAAGTTGCCCCATTTTGCATATGACGAAACTGAGGTCAAGAGATATAAAATTACTTTTGCTAAGTGACATACTGAAATAGTGGCAAATGCCGGCCAGGTACAGTGGCTCACGCCTGTATTCCTAGCACTTAGGGAGGCTAAGGCAGATGGATGATGAGGTCAGGAGATTAGACCATCATGGCCAACATGGTAAAACCCTGTCTCAACTAAAAATTCAAAAATTAGCTGAGTGTGGTGGTGCATGCCTGAAATCTCAGCTACTTGGGAGGCTGAGGCAAGAGAATTGCTTGAACCTGGGAAGTGGAGATTGCAGTGAGCTGAGATTGTGCCACTGCACTCCAGCCTGGTGACAGAGCAAGACTGTCTCAAAAAAAAAAAAAGAATAAAAGAAAAGAAATAGTGGCAAATGCCAACTAGGATCCTGACCCATTCATTTCAGAGCCATTTCCACATCACCATACAGGGTCCTGACAAGTTGGTTCCTTGCTTCACTGTATAGGATTCACTTTGGTTTGTTGGACTGGGCCTTCCCCACTCATGGTAACTGCCCTACCAACAGACAGACCCCCAAGACCTAGCAGAACCTCTTCCCTGCTCTGAACTTCTTACCACGTTCCTGGTTTATAGTCACTTGGCAAATATTTGGTGGACACTGACTATTTCAGTAAATAAACATATATTGAGATTTACCATTCCCTAGGTCATGGAGCTATAAAAACGGCATGCCATCAATTGCTGTTCTTCATGGTAGTTATATCCTATATCAGTCACCACAAACAGGAAATTAGCAAATACTGAACCATTGCTCCTAAGAGAAATATAGGGCTAGGTTCCTGAGAGCCTTTGGCTACATTTGAATCAAATGATCAACACCTAATCTTGCTTAATGTTTGTTTCCATTTAAAGACACCTAAGATATCCTGCTAATATATTAACACTGAACTCATGGCCAACAGCATTATAACTCATGCCTGAACAAAGCTTATCTAATAAATGTATTTTCTTTTTTTGAGATAGAATCTTACTCTTGTTACCCAGCCTGGAGGGCAGCAGCACGATCTCAGCTCACTGTAACCTCTGCCTCCCAGGTTCAAGTGATTCTCCTGTGTCAGCCTCCCAAGTGGCTGGTATTACAAGCAAGTACCACCACGCTAGACTAATTTTTGTACTTTTAGTAGAGACAGGGTTTCACCATGTTGGCCAGAGTTGTGTCAAACTCCTGACTTCAGGTGATCCACTCACCTCAGCCTCCCAAAGTACTGGGTTTACAGGATAAATCCATTTTCTCAGTAAGTAGTGTCATGGCCTTCCTGATCTTAGGAACACTAGACAGCCCATCTTCACTATATTTGAAAGCCTTAAC